GTGTGTGTGTGTGTGTGTGTGTGTCCCACCTGCCAGAACCAGTGGATCTGTTTGCTGTTCTTGGTGTAGTGTCTGTAGATGGTGTTCTTCTGCCAGTCGGCCAGGTCGATCTCTTGCATCCCGCAGAGCATCAGCTGCAGCAAACAGCACAGACAGACGACGTCACACAGCTTCAGTCTCTGAGGTGTTTAACAGCAGCTCTGGTCTCTAATCTGGGGCCCGACGGACTCATCATCTACGTTAGTTTAATGTTCTGAAGCCTCCGTTTGAAACCAACACAATCAGTTTATTCTACGTGTTTTATTTTGACATTTGCCCAAAACAGATGGCTAACTGGATCTAACTTGTGACCATTAACCACGTCTGACGGTGGGTGTGTGAGCGGTTCAGCAGGTCTCAGACTGGATCTGAGCAGAACATCAGAGTTCTGCTCAGGAGGGTAAATCTGGCCCTGAACCCCGTCTGTCAGGCTCCTCCAGCCCTTTGCTCTCTCCTAGTGAGACCAGGACTCCCTGACTGGAGGCTGAAGTGGACCTACTGGCTGCAGAGCACCTCCTCACCTCCAGCTCCTTCTCGTCGAAGTATCTGAGCCACTCCAGAGGAACCACCTCGTTGAAGCCGTCCAGGAAGGCCTTGGTCTGCTCCTCCACCCCGCGGGTGAACCTCCAGTCGGTCAGCAGGCTGCAGAGACACAACCAGTCTGAGCTCTTGGTTCTTTCTGTCCATGTGCGTGGTTCCTCCTCCGATAACGTACCTGATGTACTCCTCCTTGTTCTCCTCCGTCACCAGCTCGTTCTCCCCGTCGTCCTTCAGCTGGTGGGTGGAGACCTTCCCCAGGATCTCCATGTCCTGAGCAAAGTAGAGCTCCACGCCGCACTCCTCCAGGTTGTTCTCTCTGCAACACAAACGTCAGAAGCTCAGAACCAGAGCGGTGGAAGAGGTTCTGGCGTGTTGACCAGCTGCTGGTGGTGCATGTTAAAGGTCTGGAGGCTCCAGAAGCCCAGAAGCCCAGAGGAACAGAGGAACAGAGGAACAGAGGAACAGAGGAACAGAGGAACGCTGAGGCTGTCTGAACGAGAACATCTGAGGAGCTGTTGGAGATAAAAACCTGAACGTTCCTCTGTTCCTTCTCATCATGTCACTGATTCAGAACCTGTCATATCGGACCGTAGATAAAGCTGCACCGACACCATTCTAAATATTCAACGTTTATGATGAAAGAGTTTAAACAGAAGAACTCTGATGATCTGAGTGAAAATAAACCATAAAATACGGAGCAGTGAGAGGCCACATGACCAAAATAAATCAGTAAAAGAACAATAAAATAAAAGAGGAAATAAAAAGAAGAATAAATAAAATAAAAAATAATGTGGCAANGGTGTACTGGTGTGTGGGTTATTTAGTTTGTGGAGAATTGTTTTTGTTAACACATATTCAAACGTCACTGCTGCTTCCTGTGTTCAGTCACAATCCAGGCTCCTTAAAAGAACCAGTTGTCTGTTGCTGCTAACTGTAGCCGCAGTCAGCCATCCAGCCCACATACGCTACAAGAACATTAGAAAAACATGAATCCAACATCAGCTGTTTTCTGCAGCAGCACATGCATCTCTAGAACCGTGTTTGTGGGGTCGACCAGAACACGTTGTTCTGCTTCAGGGTAACACGTGACTCCAACCACACGTTGCTTCTTTCCTCTCTAACAACCTGCATGTAGTTCTGTTGGTGCTGCGTTCAGGGACGTGCAGGAATAAACTTTATAAACGTCCAGCGTTCGTACCTATGAGCTCAGCGAAGCCTCCGACCGGCAGCCGGCAGGTTCCCGTCACGAACTGCAGCAGACGGATCCTCTTCTCGTTGTCCATCTCCTTCACCACCT